GTTCTTTAGAAGAGTTTGATTAAAACAAGTAAAAAAATCCAAAACTTTACTTAAATATATTTTTAGAGTAAAAGTAATAATAATAATTAATAATTTTAATATTATATATTATTAATAAAATAAATTTTAATAAAACATTTTAAAATATATAAAATTGTCTATTCTATTATCAATTGTTATAAAAAAATATATAATAATAAAATGCATATTATAATAAAATATAAAATTCTTTGAAAAAAACAGAGTATTTCAAAATATATTGTATATATAATCTTTGTTTCAGAAATTTCTAATGAATGTATTATTTGAGTTAAATACATTAGTATTTTAAGATAAGATTATTGATATTTTTAAATCTTTTTAAATAATTACAAATATTTAATGAATTTTAATATTATGAATTTCTATTTTAAAAGTCTTTACTATTTTTAATTAATAACTTTGTGATTTTTTTTCTTGCATAATTTCTTGACAATTATTAGAAATTTTTTTATTATAATATGCTTGTATATACATTACCTAGAGTTTTGTAAGTAACGTTCATTCAAAGTTTTTTCGGATTTTTTTTATAAAAAAATCACCAACAATAAATATTTATTCCATACAAAAATAAACTGACTTTCAAGATACAAACTGTATAGATCGAAAAACCAATAATAATAAAATCTTTTCAAGACATGAGCCAACTCGGTTTTATTTTACGTGGCGATTCTCAATTGCGTTCTTGTTTGATGCATTAATATCGTTATACGGTAAATGCGAGTCATTTAACATGTTGTATATAGAAATATCTTGATAATGATAATATTGGAATTAAATCTTCACAAATCAATGCAAAAGGTAAAGTTCCAAATGAAAAAGGTCGTCAGTCACCAGTCATGATATACTGTGTGTTGTCAATTGAAATGAACCAGTGTTTCAGAATTAATGGGTCATTTAATGTACAATTCTCGGGTTTATATTATCAATAAATTTCGTAAAAGAACTTTGATAGTCTGAATACTGTATATTAATTACATTGGTTTAATTCGTAGACTAGAAATAACATATCACGAATCTGTATTGTACATCACATCATAGACAGATCTGTTGATCCCTAGATGCACGTCAAAGATGAGATCTTTTCTTGTGTCATTAAAAATTCGAACCATGCATTCGTTTTCATTAACTATTTATAGAAATAGGGATGACATGTAATGTAGACAAATTATACGTATTACTGCAAATAGTTAATAAATAGGAAGTTTTTCAATGAAGTTGTATTTAGTGCTATTCGAGGTAAAACATTTGCCAAAAAAAAACAATGAAAAAAAGAAAAAACTAAATTCGACAAAGAATCGTTATTTGTTTGAATCTTGATTGGTGCATGGTCACATGCTTAGAACAAATTTATTTTTCACATTTAGATTAACGTGAATCTCTTCAACAGTGATACACATGTATCACGGAGATGAGGAATGATTCCTTTTCCTATTGTGAACATCTTGAATCAGATCCAAAAACCATTGATTATCGATCAAGCTGAGTAACTCGTGTTGATCATCAACTTCAACAAGTTTGACTAATTCGTGGGTGCCTTTCGTTGCCAATAATCGACTGTGTTCAACCGGTATAATCGAGTCCTTTGTTCCGTGAATCAAGGTGATTTCGACTTGTACAAAAAATAAAGTTTGTCATTGTAATAATGAAAAAATTGGGCTAATGTGAGGGCGATGGCATGTCGGCCAACTTACCTCCTTCTGGCAGCCAGAATTTTGAGATATCATTATTCGCATATTTGACAAAAGCCTGTCCGAGTAAAATTGTTGGACCTTTCCAAGTACCTTATATTGAAAGCAACCTGTTATGAGGATAGTCTTCATATAATTCCTATCTCGGTCAGGAATTACCTTTTTGAAGCAAAGTAACGGCAATGGCGCCACCATAAGAACTCCCCACTACGACATCAGGTCGAAATCTACGTATTTCTTCTTCTTGGAGTTTTATATCTTTGTTGATATCTTTGGTTTCCTTGATCACGCACGTCACGATTTCTATAAGTCATTGCCAAAACCGATTCGGACGCGATATAGACATATGCAATATTTACTTACCATATCCAAACATCTGACATCAAAGTGTTCCGATAGAAATTTACACTTTAATGTTTGTGAGGAGCTTTAGGAGATCGAAATGTCGGAATATTAGTACGGGAATTTTTCGTGTTCATGGATGATGCTTTATCTTAATCACGTGAAATGGGTCGCATAAAATACATAACACGCGAAAACGCGGCAATCTTGAAAAGTTCTCTGGGCGCATGTATAAATTCGATTTCAAAATACCCAGATAACTTGCAAGAAACACGACTTGGATTGTCATTTACCTGTTACGTCCGTGAATGTAAAGAACTTTAATGTGCTTCGTATCGGACATGTTTATGCTTCTTCCAGGTCAACCAGAAATCTCTGAAAGAAGCGAGAATGGAGAGATTCGATTTAATTAAATATGGTTTCTTTTGTTGGTGGCTTGGTTTGAAAAATCGTTGATGAAAATACTGCAACCATGATTTATGGACGTTATTGTTGAGAAAATAAAGTCTAAGCTTAAAGCCGCATATTCAAAATAATGTCGAAAGAAAAAGCCACGTATTTGATTTCTTTGTGATTTATCATTATGGCTCAGATTTAAATAAAGCGCCGACATACCAGCAGATCCCAACAGTTTCATGTGACACTACGTCTCAATAAATATGTTTCCTTGACGGAATTATTTTTGGCTTCTAAACAGACTCTACAGGCATATACGCAACAGTAGGTCTTGAATTTTCATGTAGAAGTCCAAAGAAAAATTATATGAATCCAATCTTTACAAGTCACGAAGAGCCTTCCGCCTCCAAAATGATCGAATAGAAGAACTTTTGGGTTGCGAATTCATTTTCCTCATTGACACTTTCACCATGCCACATGATAATTACCTTAATACCTGAAAACTGATATTGCTTTCGCGGCGACCCTGTGATTTAAATTCGTCGAGTAAGAAGAATTCTTCTGGAGAGAATAGCAACTAATGACCAAGCATATCAATAATGTTAGAGAGCCAGCTTACCTGGTAAATAAATCACCCTGAACTCTCGGAATTTTTCTCCGGTGTACAGAACTGTTTACGTATACGGTATTACGGATGAAAAACTCCTTTGTGGAATAACCGTAATTGGATAGGATATTCATTGTAATTCAATACGTTACCTCGTCAGTTCCAGGCTGATTCCTATAACTAATATTTTTTATAATAAAATATTATTGGATCATTGTATGGTCATAGAAAAAATTGCTTTCTATGAATTCTTCGGGAGAAATCAATTTATTTTTATTTTATATATACAGCAGACCCTGAGATTATCGAGAGAAGGCAAATGACTCATAGTTACAAGCTAAAGTTAAAGATGTGTGATTAAGAGGTGATTTTTTTTTCTGTCACTAAAACCATAAATGTTTTAACCCCGGTACTGTATGTAAATAACATGATATTAATAATTGAATATATTACAGTATTATTATTACGCCATTGTTTAAAGTATAAATAAGTCCCTTTTTTGTATGAGCAAGATAATGTCAATAATAAAGTATCGTGAAGCACAAGAGATCAGAAAAACGTATGAAATATTATAATTGAAAAGAAAAAGATCCATTACACAAGGGTTAGCTCAGATATACAGAAAGAGGACATTGACAGACAATGTGAGTATTTCAGGCAGAAATAGTCAGACCAAGTGGAACGATCGTACAGAGGAGATATCAAGAAGGATTGACTCTGCAGATTTGCGAACGTGCTTGTCGAATGGATTCTTAGCAAGAACAATACAAAGATCAAAGATCGCGGTACTCGGTTTGGACGTCAATGTTGATAACATCAAATTCAGTGGGCTTGTTGAGAACTTATTACGACAAGAAAGATTTAAAAAAAAAACACGAAATATACAGATTATTTAACACCCGAAGAAAGAGAAAAGCTGAGAAAGTAGATGGGAGCTATGAGATGGACGCACAAAAAAGTTCTTAAGATGGTACAGGATGATGGAATCACTGACATGAGCATCATACGAAAGTGCTATCTGAACGATAAATGCTTCACAACCTCTGGGTAAGAGGCCTCTAGGGAATCACGTTCGTACGCAATTCAACAATTGATGGCCGCATATAAAAAAAACAATATGTTGCATGGAAATAATTTTTGAATGAAATACTGATCAAAGAAGGATTGAACACAAACCATCTCGATTCTCATTAGGGATTGGAATATGAACAGAAGGAAATACATGTTCCTAAAAAACATAATCACCTCAAAACAATCGCCAGGTATCAGCAATACAGTTAACATAACTATGAATCATTTGGGTCATTTTTACTTGTGTGTTTCCGTTTCTTTGAATATCATCGACAACCAAGATGATATTCGGGGAATGGTAATCTCACTCGATCCTGCTTTGGAAAGAGAGAGAAATTTTGATTGAGAAAAACGATATTACGAATCATACAATGAACCTGTAATTTAATTGATGAGTGCCATTATCATTGGTTGTGTCAAAATTACGAGATCACTCTTTTACCCAAGTTCGAATCTTCGAGATGGTTTTGAAAAACAAGTGAAAAATTCAGTCAACAATTGCTCGTATTTTAGGTTTCGATGTTATTGAATGCACCGAAGGATATATATATCAAAGACGTGTAGGAATTTTTTTGGATTCATAAAAATGATCTCGGCGGGTCAAAATTTAAATATAATTCGTACGAGGTGAAGATGGATCGAGACGTGAATGGTGCCAGAAATATCTTGTTCAAATATTTAAACGCAGGGTCAGGTTTTAGCCTGACTTAGGACTTGAACGTATATGAGATACAATATGCCATTCAACTTCAAGGGTACAGTTTATAATTTATTATTATTATATACTGTATATATATTTAGTTATTTATTTTATTCCACTCTATTTTATCCTTTTCATTTTTTTTCTTAAAAAAAATCTTTTTGATAATGTATAATGTTAACAATTAATTATTACTGTACTTGGGGGGAAACTTGTTTTCAGAATCAAAATATCTTCCTATATTAGATCACATGCTGTTGTTTGCAATTTCAAAGCTAATTTGTATAATATATTCATTTGCTTTTTACATCGAACAACATTTTCTTTAGACGACGTGAGTAATGCATGTCCTCGGGATCACATGATCTACTTCATGCAAAATATACTCTCGGTATAAAGCAAACAGTAAACATATTAGTGAAAAGGTCCAATCAAACAATCCGGGAAATTCTGTCTTGCATTGTCCAAAGGAAGAGAAAAATTAATACTTAAGACAAATAGGCTGAGTAAACTTTAAACTAGGTTAGTATATAAAGTTGCAGATTTTACTGAAAAACGAACCTATCGTGTCACGAGTCCAAGTGCAATTAAACACTAATTATAAACATTTTATATTTTTGCGAACCTTCTTTTCACGTTTCACAAATTAATTAATTGTTTTTATGCTCTTTTTGTGGGAAAAAATGTTTAAATTTTCACCACTCAATGAGTTACGATAACGTTGTTTGGATGACAGGCTCACCGGTTATGCACGTTCCCATTGGTTAATGTTGATTTAATTGTTTAAATTATCGAGAGAAACATTTGGGAAGGCTGTACCAAACTATCGTATATACAGTATATAAAAATCTTAAAGTATCTTATTTTATATCAAACTTTAAACTAACCAATGCATGACATATGTCTACTTCGGATGTTGTGTTGTCATTCACTTTCCACCAGTTTTAACGAGCTCCGAGAAAGAATTGAAGGCGTCCGGTTTTTCATCCAAATTGAATCGCTGACGCGTGGATAATATATAAAATTCGACCCGGTCTTATTATTCATTTTTCCGTGAATTAACTTAATATTGAAGAATGCCAAGATACTATCGAAAACAGGGTTGACAATGTTTGTGCAATATCGATACGCTATGTTATCGTACATGTATTATTTGACGCAAAACCATGTAAACCATTGTACGCTTAATTTACAAATAATAATAATCAAGTTTTCCTATTTTGCTTTCTATCACAAATATCTCGTGCGCATGTTATCTCATAATAACATCGTGAGATATATAAGCTCTTTTCCATTTGTTCAATACGGAAAACAGAACTTTCAAGCTTTGCCTTGCGAATGCTTGAGTCAATTAAAATCTCTCCTTACTAACATAATCCTATTTCACTCACTCACGCTTATTTATTTCCATCTAATCTTCTTTCATTTGGTAATTTCTTCTTTCGTTAATTCTTCTTTAATCACTTTAAAATTAACTTTCATAAAATGTTTCTTCTTTTACAGCTTTCATAAAATCCGTTAAATCGACATGTCTTCATATGCTAATGGATACCCTAGCGGGGATGTTGCTTGGGTTTTATCATCGTCCGCTCTTGTATGGCTCATGATTCCCGGCGTCGGTTATTTCTACAGCGGTATGGCCAGAAGCAAGAATGCCCTATCACTCATTATGCTTAGTATTATTTCCGCCGCCGTCGTATCTTTTCAGGTAGGTTATCACTGCCATTTCATTTTCCTATTTTCATGTTACTTTTTTTTTTTCCTAAAAAAAAATTTATCAAAATTTTCTCTTCAGTGGTGGCTATGGGGATTCAGTCTGACGTTCGGTCCAGCCCCGAGCAAACTCATTGGCAACTTGGATTACGCGTTTTTTAGAAATGTCGGTAACACCCCATTGAACGAGACCGCCAAACAACAAATGTCAACAACAAGCAACTTACCCGTCTCCGTATTCGCCATCTTTCAATGTATGTTCGCCGCAATCACTCCCGCCCTAGCCATCGGTTCTGCTGCGGAACGTGCGCGTATACTTCCAACAGCTGTCTTCATTTTTATCTGGTCCACGATAGTGTATGATCCTATCGCTTGTTGGGCATGGAATGTCAATGGTTGGTCAAATTTGTTGGGAGGCCTTGATTTCGCTGGGGGTACCCCTGTGCATATCTCTTCGGGTGCCGCGGCTCTCGCTTTTTGTCTATTTATTGGAAAACGTCAGGGTCATGGAACTGATGAATTTAAGCCTCACAATGTTGCCAATACTATGATTGGAACTGCTTTCCTCTGGTTTGGATGGTTCGGATTCAACGGAGGTTCTGAGTTGGCCGCCAATTCTCGCGCTGCCATGACTTGTTTTGTCACCAATTTAGCTGCCTCAGTTGGCGGTCTCACTTGGTGTCTACTTGACTACAGACTCGAAAGAAAATTATCAGCTCTTGGCTTCTGTTCCGGCGCCGTCGCTGGTCTCGTCGCCATTACTCCCGGTTCCGGTTATGTTGGCACACCGGCCGCCGTGGTGTTCGGAATAGTTGCCGGCATCGCATGCAATATGGCCGTGAAATTAAAACATATATTTAATTTCGATGACGCTTTAGACGTATTTGCTGTGCACGGTGTTGGTGGCCTGTGTGGCAATATTCTTACCGGAGTCTTCGCTCAGAAATCTATTATTGCTGCTGATGGCACGGACCTTCCCGGAGGTTGGATAGAAGGACATTGGGTCCAAATTGTTTATCAACTTGCCGGTTCTGTCGCCGGAATGACTTTTTCTTTCGTTATGACATATCTCATCCTTTCCGTTATGAACTTTATTCCTGGACTTACGATCCGTGCTGCTCCAGAAGACGAGGCCATTGGACTTGATGAAACCGAAATTGGTGAATTAGCATATTACCACATTGACAGGCTTGTCGCGGTGAACACAAAAACTAATGAGGAAAGAATCGCCAAAGAGGAAACGATCCACCTACAAAGCGATTCTGGTGTTTAAATTTAGCCTTCATTTTTTATTTCACTTAAATAATTTACAGATAATAATTTTTCTAAATGATTAACTTAATATTTATTGATTGTTTATATTCTATGTCACATTGTACCGTAATTTTGTAACCTTTCAAGATAACTTATTCTAAATAGCTTGTTAAAAATAGTCTTTCTTAAACAAGCAAGACCTTCATGATTTTGAAACGCAGTGTTCCTAACGATTCAGCATCAATTTTTGAACTCAATTTATATTCTTCAAAGTAGGTCAGGACCTACAGTGTTCTTTAATAAATAATAAGGATTGTCCATTATTGTGTTCAAATATGTCGTATGATGCAAGTATAGATAAGTAATAGAGGATAAAGCTTTTAACTTATTGAAAATTTTTCAAATTCTAATACTTACAATAAAAGTTGATAATTTATAATAAATTAATTCCATAAAATTGTTATAAACGTTTAGATTATTATATCATTGTATACATGCTCTATAATTTCCCCTGATATATTATATTAGTTCAAAAGAGACTTCAGCTATCATCTCTATTATATTTTTACTTATTATCTTTATATTTTTTATATTTTATTTCATTGATCTCTACATTTATTATAAATCTAAATACTCTTTAATTCAATAAAATTTTATTCAATATACAGTATTTTAAAATCTCGGAATAAAATGATATAAATTCTATTTAAAAAATATTTGCTTTTAAGATTTTAGATAATATAAAAAAATTTATTAAATATGTTTATAATAATAAATTAATATTATAGAATTAATAAATTTTGTATTTTCATACTAATCCAGCATATATTAAGATTATAATCTTCTTGATAAAGTATAGAGATATAATAATTATCTAATTGATATTATAATAATCACCAGAAGTATGCCTATAGTGATTGGATACAATAATACAAAGATATTGTATACAGTATATTCAACTTTTCTAATCAAAATTTTTTTTGTGTTTGGATATATAGATTGGACTATACTTTATTTTATTTAATTTTATTATTTCTTTTTTATTAAATATTAAGTAAAAATCTTTAAAAAGAAATATTGAATTAATATTAACATCTTATATAATATAGTTATTCTAATAGTTTATTGTATATAGTATGTAACAAAACTTTTTAAAATTTTTTATTTATTTGTTATTCAAAAGCTATTGCATAAAAATCAATAAATAATATATCAAAATAAAGCTTAGAATCTAAAGATTATAATAATATAAATTTTATATAAATATGTTTTTTAAAATTTTTTGAAATTAAATTTTTTTTAGTATTAAAAATCAATTACAAATAAAAATTTTATTTAGAATTTTATAATTTTATAAATTTTAATTCAATAACTTTAAAATTTTTTTAATTAAATATATAAATCTTTTTCTTAGTAAAAAAATTTTTTTAATAATTTTTAATTTGTAAATTTTTGAATTTTTGAATTTTTGAATTTTTTTTTTATAATATTAAAAATAAAATATAAATTTCTATAACTTCATAAATTTAAACACAATAAATTTAAAAATTAATTGATAATAAATATAATATTATATTTTTTTAATAAAAAATTTTTTTAAAAGTTTTATTATATACTGTATATAGGAGTTATATACTGCTTAACATTTATATCTTTAGATTTGACAATCTATATTAATTTAATTCTAAATATAAAAAATATATATAGTCATATTGTTAATCTTTATTATATATAGTGTAAGAGGGACCAAAAAAATTAGATAGATTCAACATATGTCATCCTCGCCCAATTGGGGTTTAATTGGGG